TCCTCACAATTTTCTAAGCTTCGGGGACGAAGCTTCTTGTAAGGGGGGGGGGAGTGTAACACCTCGTGTTACGATCTTCAAGCCCGGATTAATTATGTAATTAATCCCACTAAGAATAGTTAAAAATGATTTAATTTAGTTAGAATCTCCTTAATTAATTAATGCGGTCCACAATGGATCGTGGACCCTTGTCTATATTAAAGACCTTAAACCTGCTAGGAATAAAGAGAGAAGACCTTCTACTATTCAGATTCTAATTAGGAATCCTAGACTTATATATCTGTTAGGGATAAAGAAAGTAGACCTTTTACTAGTCATATTCTAATTACGAATCCTAGACCTATATATCTGTTAGGAATAAAGAAAGTAGGCCTTTACTATTCAGATTCTAATTAAGGATCCCTAACTCTATAAATAGGGGATTAGAAAGCAATTAGAACCCTTACCACTCATAGTTATATTACACGAAATTATTCCCAAGAGACCGGGCGAAGAGATTCCCCACCACCAAGCCTAGGGAGATCAATTGGAGGGAAATCTTAGAGAATAACCTTAATAGCCAAGGGAGGATTAATTAAGGCTAAGAGGTAACCCATGTCTTACAAAACCCATTTTCCATGCTATATCTTATGTATTGCCTCCTTTAATAATTGTATGTGTGATTCTGTGATTGAGTCTTGATAGAGTTTTGCCTAGGGTTTATGTTGTGCTTATTCGGTAATCTCGATAATCTTGATGTTGGTAATTGATTATATGTGTGATCTTGCATTTGGGCATGTCTAAAGCTTGTCGTTAGGGTTTATTTGATGAGATCTTGGTGTTCTTGTGATTCTTGTTGTTCTTGCATGATTAGGAGTTGATTCTTGAATCTTGATATGTTATGAGCATGTATTTAGGATTTAATTGGGTGTTGGTTTCTTGGTTTAATTCTTGTGGTTCAAGTCTATATTGTTGTTGTTGTGTATTGGGTTGTATTCGAACTTGGTTTTGGGTTTACGGGATGAATTCCCGGGTGGGAAAAATGTCGGGATGCCATCGTACCAGCGGGGGGTCGGTGGGGGGGGGGGGGGGCGAACCCCACCTGACCACCCGCCAAATACACACCACGGTACCAGCGGGCGGCCGGCGGGTGATTGACCACACGCTGGTACGGGCGGGGTGGTGCATTGTTTTGTCTCGTTGTGTGTTTCCCCGTGCCCTGTTTGATGTTTATGTGTCTCGTTTGATATTTTGGGTACTATTTTAGGAATTGTGAGTCGTGGTTATGGCATGTGGGTTAAGTTAGTATCTCGTTGGCCTATGATGGGATTTGTTTGATCCCGTGTGTGTCTTGTGGTTGTCTCGTTATCTTGGAAAGTAAAGTTTATGACGGGTCTTGTGGGTTGCATGTTTATGTTGATGTCAATTGTTGATTATTGTGACCTTCCCTTTGATTACTCATTGCTACGTGTTGATGTGTATTGATTGTTGCTGTTATTAAGCGGTGGCCACTGCGTTGTTGTGCATGTTGACTGATTGATTGTACCTAATGAGAAAGGGATGTGATTGGTGGATAAGAATTGTTGGAGTTTGGCACAACGAGTGCCCGGTTATTGTGCTAAAGGCACAGACCATTTGGTTATCGTGCTGAAGGCACGGACCAACCTTGATTAGTTTGCTAAAGGCATAGATCAAGTTATAAGCACTGCGGTGCCATGTCAGAGCTATATGCGCTGACCCCTTGGTAGTGGTGCTAGAGGCACGGATCATGCGAATGGCACTGCGGTGCTATCAGATCGGTGGCATGTTGGAGATATGTTGAAGGGGAGCCATGAAGTGCTCCGGAGGGATAAGGGGGTGGCGTTATAAGGGTGGCCTGGAGGTATTGGTTGGAACTGATATAAGGATGGAGAGGAATAAAGGTTGGAACTTGGTATAAGGCTGGACTGTGATGCTATTGTTGTTGTTGCCTTTGCTTGTCGTTGTGACTTGTTGTTTTTATTGTTTGCTATTGCTATTGTTTGTTATTGCTGAACTCTGTGGTTATCATATCTTGTGAGTTAAGACACATGATAGTATCTTTATGATGATTCGTAATGTCGAATCTGTTGTTGTGTCTCGAGTGTTGATCTTGGTTTTAAAGCTAGAGTTGTCTAGGATTATATACGTATTCCAGTCTCAAAATGGTTTCTTATATCTACCTATATTGTACTTAACGTGTGGGAGTGGGTTTCCAGCATTATTCGCTGACAGTTGTTACACCGTATGTTTTTCAAGTACGGATCAGTAGCTTCAGAGTGCGCTAGATGGGCATGAGGACCTAGGTTAGATAGTTTAGTATTAGTTAGATGGCCTGTGAGCCTTTGATTGTATTAGGGATATTAATTACCGTTTATGGTTGTTTAGTTAGTTTAGCATGTGCATCTAGGTTCTCAAACCTAGATGTGGCATAGCACCCCGATACTTATGTTGTTAGTTCCGCTTTGTTTGGATGAATAATGATAGATTTGCCTTTATTTCATAGGATTTAAATGTTTAAAAAATTAGGGGTGTTACATGGTCAACCGCATTTCCGGGTTTTGCATTCTATTCTTCGTTGTTGTCCAGTTAGCGAGTCTCGTTTATTTAATTTTAGTTCGTTATGTTCGGTTGTCAAATGGGAAAATCTTCTCGATTTCCTCTTAGTCGTGTCAATAAAACTAGCAATAATATTCTTGATCTTGTGTACACGAACATATGGGGTCCTGCTCCCATTCTTTCTGCGGATGGCTATAAATAATTTGTTATTTTTGTTGATGATAATTCTCGCTATACATGGTTTTATCCTATGCGTTTAAAAACATATATTTATGCTATTTTTCCACATTTTCGAGCACTTGTTATTTCGTATGTCAGTTTTCCCATTCTATTATTTCCATTCAAACTGATATTGGGGGTGAATATAAAAAGCTTAGATAGACGTTTTCTGCTCTAGGTATTCGTCATCGACAGTCCTGTGCTTATACCCACGAGCAAAACGATCGTGTTGAGCGGCGGCATCGGCATATTGTCGAGATCGGGCTTGCACTTCTGGCACAGGCATCTGTTCTGAGTCGGTTCTGGTCTTATGCCTTCGAGGCGGCTACGTATCTTATTAATCGTATGCCTTCCTCGGCTCTGTCTAATCTCAGTTCTTACTCTATTGATCACAGTCAAGTTTTGGATTACACTCACTTGCGGGTTTTTGGTTGTCTGTGTTTTCCGTGCCTTCGTCCCTATAATCGTCACAAGATAGAGTTTCAGTCGTCTCCATTTCTCTTCTTGGGCTATCTAGAGTCTTATCGGGGGTACCTGTGTCTGGACCTCCGTACTAATCGTGTTTTCATCTCCAGGCATGTCAGGTTTGATGAGGGAATCTATCCTTTTGCTACCTCCCCGGCTTCTGTTCCTAAGAAGGACTTTGGGGATACATCTGTTCCTTGGGGAGTCTTGGTGGTTGTTCCTCCCGGTAGTAGCTCTGCAGCGGTAGTGCCGAATGTTATTGAGCTTGTAGACTCGTCTGATGTTGGTGCCTCCGTCTCTTCTGTTTCAGACACCACTGATTCTACGTTTGTTCCCGTGTATGCTCCGCCGGCTAGGAGGCCACGGGCTCGTCAGAGGCCTCTGGTTCGTGCTCACCCGATGGTCCTCCGTCACATGGGTCCAGCCAATGGACAGGCTTTGGCTGCGGTGGTTAGTTCTAAGCCCATGTGATACTCTCAGGCGGTGGCTTTTCTTGAGTGGAGGTCGGCAATGGATCTTGAATTTAATACCCTGCTTTAGAACAATACATGGAGGTTGGTTTCTTATCCCCCGGGTCTCAATGTAGTCGGATGCAAATGGGTCTTTCGGGTGAAGCGGAAGGCCGATGGTTCTGTGGAACTGCATAAGGCGGTCTGGTTGCCAAGGGGTTTAACCAAGTGGCTGGCGAGGATTTCTTTGACACGTTCAGTCTCATTGTGAAGCTTACTACCGTTCACCTGTTGCTTGCTTTAGATGTGTCTCGTGGTTGGTCTATGGGCCAGTTAGAAGTTCACAATGCGTTTTTTAACGGTCATCTTTCTTAAATGGTCTATATGAAATCCGCCAGGGTATGTTGATGCTCGGTATCCTAATCATGTGTGTCTCCTTCACGCTCGCTTTATGGTCTGAAGCATGCTCTTAGTGCGTGGTTTCGCCAGTTGCATGACTTTCTGGATAAGGTTAGTTTTCGGCCTTCAAAAACTGATGTCTCGTTGTTTGTTTATACTGAGTCGGAATGCAGGGTGTACCTTTTTGGTGTATGTTGATGACATTCTCATTATGGGTAGTGCTGTCAATACGGGCTGGCGGGGCGGGGCGGGCCGCGGGACTAAACAGAGCGGGCTAAAAAAGCCCGCTCCTAAGGGGGCCTAGGGTTGCCTGGCCCGGATCGCCCCACCAGTGGCCCACGGGCTAGGCGGGCCCCCGCCTAAACCTCCTCTTAAAAAAAATTGTTAATCTAAAAATAATAATACACTAATTAACTGCTTAAACAAACATAAGTACTAAATTACTAATGAACTTACTGCTTAAACATACATACATTAACTACGCCAGAGACGTAAATGAAGTCTATTTTATTCTTTGTCTATTATTATAATATATATATATATATATATATATATATATATACACACACACACACACACACACACACACACACACACACACATATATATATATATATATATATATATATATATATATATATATATATATATATATATATATATATATATATATGTATATATATATATATACATATATACATATATACATACATACATACATACATACATATATATATATAATAAATAAATAAATAAGGCAGCAGCCCACCAAGCTCGCCCCACTAAGCCCGCTGACCGAAAAAAGCCCGCTCCTAAACAGTCCTAAATTTTCGAAATTCGCCCCCTACCTAAGTAGGGGTGGGGCGGGGCGGGCCGGCACGACCGGCTAAGCCCGTTTTGACGGCTCTAATTATGGGGAGTGATTCCGATCTTGTGATGTCTCTGTTTAATCGTCTGGCTGAGGTGTTTAAGGTTCGTGATTTGGGGTCCCCTCACTTCTTCTTAGGCATTGAGACTGTACCTGTAGATGGGGGTCATGTGCTCTAACAGCGGCGTTATATGGGTGACATTTTTAAGCGCGCTGGAATGGAGGATTGTAAGCCTATCTTGACTCCAGCTGTTGTTTCCCGTACACCCGTTTCCGGTTCTTCTGAGGTGTTATCTGATCCTACCACTTATAGGCGTATGGTTGGGGCTCTTTAGTATCTTACTATAGCGTGTCCCGATCTGTCATATGCAGTGAACAGGTTCTGTCAATTCATGCATGCTCCTACTGAGGCACATTGGAGTGATCTTAAGCGTGTTCTTCGCTATGTTAAGGGCACTATGACTTATGGGCTTTGTGTCTCTAAGTCTGACTCGGTGGTTATTCACGCTTTCTCGGACTCAGATTATGCCAGTTGTCCTGTTGACAAGAAGTCCACCAGTGGTTTTGCAGTCTTCTTGGGTAGTAATTTGATCTCTTAGTCCTGTCAGAAGCAGCGGACTATGGCTCGCTCGTCTACCGAGGCTGAGTATAAGGGACTTGTGGATGTTTCGACTGAGGTAACGTGGTCGGTTTCTCTTCTTCGTGAGCTTGGGATTAAGTTGTCTTCTTATCCTCGTTTGTGGTGTGACAACTTGGGCGCCACTTATTTGTGCGCTAATCCCATCTTCCATTCTCGGACTAATTAAACATGTGGAAATCAACTATCACTTTGTGCGGGACAAAGTCGCTTCTAGTGAGTTAGTTGCATGTTCAGTTTATCTCTACTAAAGATCAGCATGCTGACATATTTACGAAGGCTCTAACCAATTCGTGGTTCACTTTCTTACGGGGCAAACTCAATGTCGTCTCTCTCCCGCCATGAGTTTGCGGGGGCGTATTAAGACTCATTGTACTAGTAGTATTCTAGATGGCTTATATCTCTTGTTGCACGTAGACTCTGTGTATATAGTATACTCTTCTCCCAAAATGTTGAATCTCCAACCCTAAGGGTCCCCCACACTACGACCCGACAGAGCATGTGAGATGATGTAAATCACGGTGAGTATATAGTATACTCTATTGTACGTTTGTTGATCACTATTGAATACAATACCTTCATTTTTATTTTTATTTTTATTTTTATTGAGAAATTATTCAGATTTTGAATAATTGTGAAAATTCTCAACACAATTTTGTCCTCTTTAATCCTTATTTATTACCATAGCAAAATATCCAACAATTTTTGTCGTATATAAACTGTGTGAAACACACTGCAAGGTATACACATTTGTTGGATAGTTACCGTTCATCGAATGGAGGTCTGAAGATATCATTTATCCATTTATGTACAATTCATTATTGATGCATGTTTGTGTGTTAGATTGAAATTTTGAATTTTCAGACACAGACGTTGGTGGTTCTGCTTCTTCGAAATCAATGGCGTCTTTAGAAGCCACGTTGCATCTCTTTATATTCCTTCCGCTCCGTGTCTAGTTCGGTTAACGAGGCTTAATTGAATTTATTTTTAATTTAATTTTTTATAATATTAAGTTTATTTTTAATATACAAAATTTATATTCCATCCGTCCCATTTTATGTGTCTGGTTCGATTAATGAGCATTGACTGAAGTTATTTTTAATTCAATTTTTCATAATATTAAGTTTAGTATTAATATACAAAATGTATATATTTAGAAACCACTCTGAAAGTACTATTAAACACAAAAAATCAAATTTAAAAATAAGTAAAAATAAGAAAATAAACCTAAAAATAAAAATAAAAATAATTGATTTGACCAATGAATAATACGTAGGATAAATAAAATGGGAAAGAGGGAGTACTACTTTTTGTACCAAATTAAAGTTAATTTTATGAAAATTTTAAAGGCAGAAAGATCAAATAGGTTTTTCTACTTACTTACAAGTGCTTAATTTTTCTTTTTCTTTTTATATTACTTTTCATGTTTTTTTTCCCTACACTTCTATCTTATATGGCATCTTAAAAATAAAAAATAAAAAGATTGATGAGGACTGAGGAGTATTTATGAGTTGATGTAATTAATTGATGTATTCGAAATTATGAAGAAAAAAATCATAAATAACAATGATTGATTAATGTTGAGGAGGAATAAGGATAGAAATAGGTGAAGCGAACGGGCAATCATTATTGCGTAGTTTGTGATCCAAATAGTTGTGTAGACTTCAGTACAAAAAACACACAAAATATATTATTTTAACTCATAAAATATATTATATTAACACATAAAGTATATTATTCTAACTCATAAAATACATTATCTTAGTCTAGAAATTTAATTATTCTAACACAAAATATATTATACATTATTCTAACTCATAAAATATATTATTTTAACACAAAAAAAAATACATTATTGTAACTTATAAAATACAATGATGGATTCAAAATTACGAAGAAATAAAATCATAAATAACAATGATTTATGAATGTTGAGGAGGAAGAAGGATAGGGATAGGTGAAGCGAACGGCAAGGTAAGCAAACAATGGGCGTGACTTACTCAACCTGAAATTCCGGATAAAATTTATGGGCAAAAATGTAAAACCGCAAATAAATATATTGAATAAAGGGAAAATGGCACTTTTTCTCCCTGTGTTATATACTTATAGCATTTTTTTCCCCTATATTATTTAAGTGGCAATTTTCCCCCCTGATATATTAAATGGACATATTTACCCTTAAAATAAATATTTCCTTTATTTTACTTCTCCAACAAATTATAACCACAATTTGAAAAAATAAAATACATTAATTGTTGAATTTAGAATACTTTAAAAATAAAAAAATAAAATTTTAAAATAATGTTTGAACTAACAGTTCAAATTGGATCCGAAATTGTGAAACAACGATTCAAAATAAAAACCAAATCGCGATTATATATACTTATATGTGAGTGTCAATATAAATGCGAAAAAAACATACACTATTTGCAAATATTATAATTCTAATTTTAAGCTATTGCTAGTAGTTGTTCCGATTTGAACCTCTGGTTCACGGTTCAGAATCTATTTTTTTCCACTTCACAATTTTAATAAACGGAAACCCAAATATTGGGTTATGTTATGAATCATAACCGAATTTTTTTTTATTTGATTGCTATAGTGTTCGGTTCAGTTCGAACCGAACCGTGGCCATCCCTACGTATAAACAATAATTTGTTGAACAAGAGAAATAAATAAAATATGTATTTAAGGGTAAAAATGTCTATTTAATATTATCAGGGGAAAAAACTGCCACTTTTATAATAATTGAGGGGGCAAATGTGGATGCATGAATAACTCAGGGGGAAAAAATGCTATAAGCATATAACATAGGGGGAAAAAGTGCCATTTTTCCTTGAATAAAATATCTTAAAAGGTGGCGGGAAAATCGTGAAATCCACGACACTGAGCACGTCACGTTGGCTTAAAATAACCGCACCGTTAGTCCACTACCGTCTACCGTCTACCCACCACAAAGCACGTGACCCATCCTAAATCCAATCTAACAATGCTGTGGTAGTTGTCACCGTCTCGCCATACTGCCTGCATCACCAAATTGCCCGCTCCTCAACCATCTCCTTCTTGTCCTTTACTTATCATTCTTTTTTTTTTTTTTTTTAGGGATTACAAATTTTCAAAAATTTTACAATACCATAGCTCGGAGCTATGCAATCTCAATTCATATTTTCATGGGTCTGAAGCATGTTAATGAACTCAATAACGCAAAAATTTATGTGAGACTGTCTCATAGATCTTTGTTCGTGAGAAGAGTCAAGTCAAGATGGAAAATGTAATACTTATATTAAAAAATATAATATTAATAAAAAGTAGAGTATTTATTACTTTGTTGTCGGTCAATTTTTTTTTTTTTTTGCCGGCCGGATTTTTTCGTCGAAAATTTTTGACCGATTATTGCAGGTGAATAATCTACAAATGGATTTAATTGACTCAAAATAGCAAGTTGAAGGGTCTAATTGCACTTTAACAAAGTTGAATGGCCTAATTGTACTTTTGTCTATAGTTCATGGGTCTATTTGTCCCTTATCCCTTATTATTATTACTAGTACTTTTACGCGCCTTGGGCGTGAATGAAATAATGTTCAATGATTATTTTTAAATAAGTATTTCAAAATATATCAATGTAATATTAGATCGGAGATGTCCATGCATAGGTAAATAACTATTGAATTTGTTTATTTAAATCGATAATTTAAAGTATATATAAATGCAAGATAATATATGAGAGATTGATTTTATTGTCACTAAAATAAATGTTTGCAACTTTGTAATAACGCTAGTCTAAAAACGATAATCTAAATAAATACTATTTTTGGTTTAAATTTCTCTAATTCTTATTAATTCTCTTTTGGATAGCATTGTCATTGTGTTCGTCCTCAATACATGTCCTCTTTTTTTTTTTTTTTTTTATTAGTAGTGTGTCATGTGCAATTGGGTTACTGGTGGTAGCATAGATCAATTTATCGTGCAATGAATTACGGTGTAGGAAGTTTTAGTTGTCTTGTTGTGTATATGATGAGATCTTAGTTGTACTATTAACTCTTTATCTTACAAGTACCTATTGATATTTGGTAATGATAATTTTTTCCATACATGTTTCATGCGTTGTGAGATGTGTGTCGTAGGTTATCATGTGAAAGTATTGAACAAAATATTAATATTTATTATATTTGTATAAAATATTTGGTAAATAAATAAATAAATATATATATATATATATATATATATATATATATATATATATATATATATATATATATATATAATATTTTGTATTATAACTTTGATATTTAATTACAAGAAAATGTTTAAAAAAAAAAAAAGACAATTGACAATGTAGTGAATATAATAAAGTAATAAATTTAAAGGTAATGAATCTTTGAATTGTAGAAAATAAAGATAATATAAATAATGAAATTATATCTCTTTTTAAATTTTTTATAATGAGTAATTTTTTTTAAATAAAGAAATTATAGACATCTAATTCTAAATTAATTAAATTCATATGTATTATTTTTTGTTGTAGCTACTACTTTATTTAATTTAATAAGAGTAATAAAGTGGCGTACATACTCTTCATCAACAATAATGAAATCATTGATTTTTTTTTAATTTACATTCGTTGTTGAGACAAATTGTTTTGAGAGTTTGTCAATGACAATTGTTACAATTCCTGTCAATTGTTAAATTTTATATTATATATTTTTTAAAATATATTTTAACATATTCGTAGTATATGTTTAACAATTATGTCAACTCTAATTGGGATAGGGTTCGAACCTAAAATTTTTCTTAATGAGTAAGTTAAAAATAATAAATAGTTAACGGAATATTCCGTTACTAAAGTTTATACTAACGGAATTTAGGTTATTTAAGTAAAGAAAATAATATAATAAAGGGTAAATAAGGAAAATCATTAAAAAAAATACTAAAATCAAAATAATATGAACTATTCAATTTAGC